GAACTCGAAGTTTACAAGTCCAAAATCAGTAGAGCGAGGAGGGAGTAGGGAGTCATGTAACAAATTTTTCCAACGCGTGAAAGGGTGTATGGAATCAGTCAGAATTTGGCGAATACCCGTGAATAACCCCGCTGACTTAAGTTACTTCAGAGACAAGACAGGAAATCGTACAGCTAGCAGCGAAGAGTTACCAAAGCCTACTCCTGATTTCTTTTTGATTGGTGGTGCCTCTGACATCCCTGGTAAATATTCGTTTGGAGACAAATCGGTTTTGGTTCGCCGTTGTGCCATCTTCACTGTCATTCTTCGATCTGGGGAGCTTCGTCTTCAAACCTAATCATACAGATTACTGAACACTCGAAATCGCTCTTACAAGCTTCTTCTCTAGCTACATTCCCTCAAGCGATGATAATCTGGGCCGGAGTGATTGCAGAAAAGCAGAAGTGGAATGCAGCCGGGCGGCTTTCAGGACTCTGAATTTTATGGTGGTGCACTCGCAGTCTGTCGGGAATGTCTGGCTTTGCCCTAAACCGCATTGGAGTAGCTGATGACTTGACACGGAAAGGCACTCTTGAAACGTTATCACCGGATAAGGAGCAGTTGGAGACATCTCTGTCATCATGTGGCTCACACTTGGACGGTTGGGCTTCATGTCAGCTCTGCATGCGTTGGATGAAACTAGGACAAGCAGACTTGCAAAATACATCAGGACTAAAGTAGATCCTAAGGCGCTCTAGGAGGAGCTTATTACGCTTACAGCCTCAGCTCTCGTAGGTGGCAGCTCTGAAAGGCCACAGTGTGATTGTCTAAGGTGGAAACATTTTGGCTCACACTTCCTGACTAACCCTGGGTAGCTCGGTGACTAAGTTATGGTTTGCATTCAGATGGGAAAATCTCTTAAATGTTATTTGGGACAATCCATGCAGACTAACTTAACCCAACGTTGGTAGGTAGATGTTGATCATTAATCACACGACTTTAATTTAGTATTCATGAACTCGAAAATCAGTGTCCTATTTTACCTATTTAATATTTAAATTTACTTCCTACATAACAGCACTGCTGAAGTCCGAGGGAAATGTTGCACAAAACCCATTTTTGGACTTTACAAACTCACAAATATACTAAACTTCCTTTACATCAGGCGTTATTTGCACTTAATAGCCTGCTCCCCAAGCAAATTTTGATTTTGCAAAAAATTTTCATAATTTTTGTGCAATCATTTCCATCAAATTTTAAATAAGCTTGCAGTCAGCATTTAACAACAGCAGAAATTTTTGCTGAAAATTAACTCAGATTGATTCCACTGAACTAAACTCTTTCCCACACCGATAATATGGGTTACGTATACGCCGCGCCCTACAGCTGTGAATGTGTAAACTCTGGTAGTTTGGGTGGGTGTACGACAGCCGCTGCTGAGTTTTTAGTTGAGCCTCGAAAATTGCATTCACAACCACAAAAATTATTGTGAAAACTTTTCTTTTGTTTCCGCTTTTGGGTGGTGGAAAGTTTTTCCTGCAGTCACACACACACACACAAGCGCAAAGCAGGAGTTTTAACGCCACTATACATATACATATATATGTATGTACAGCAACATCACTACAAATTTCATGCATGTAAGTATATATTTTTTTGTTTGCATAATCGTATTTAAGCATACGTACATACGTAAGTATGTATTAGAATGCTTGCCGCAGTTGAGTGAGATTGCTTTTAGCTGCCTGCCTGCTGCGCGGGTGCGATGTTGCTGGGCCAGTTATGCCTTTCGTGTTTTCCGTAATTTAACTATTTGAAATATGCAGACTAAAAAACATACATATATATATGTATGTATGTATGTATGTATGTATACACAATCATACATGAATGAACATAGATTAATACGTACGTACAAATAGATGTGTGTGTGTGCGGAAAAGTCATGCAGCTGCAGTACAACTTTGCTTTTGCGCTCTTTTTGCTAAGTGAGCGAGCGAGCGAGTATTTTTTGCACCGCAAAACCACAACTTTGGTTTAGAATTACAGGCGTACAAAAAACAAAAGGTTGGCAAGTTGCAGGTAAAACTAAAAAAAGTAAAAGCAAAAAAAAAAAACATACGAAAAAGCGCAAAAATGTTAGATTTCCAGACTGAAAAGTGAGCTAAATGCCAGTGGAAGTGTTGAAAGTGTTTGAAGTGTGGATTTGTTAAAGATCAACCAAGTGGCAGTGATAAGCCAAGTGAATGTCATTATTGTTTGCAAAAGTTCTTCTCAGCTTTTAGTTACGCACTTACACGCCAACAACAATGGCGCTTGCATATGCACCTACATACATACATACTACATGTTCAAGTGTATTCGACATGCCATGTGCAGGTGTGCTAAGCTTTTGTGGTTGTGCAGTTGTGTGTGTGCGTTTATGGCTGTCACTCCACTTCTTGTGCGATGTTTTTTGTTTTTCCTCTTTGTTTATTTGCTTAGAGTGCGTATGTACATTAGACCGTACCACGAAAAAAAATGTTCGCCATGCACCTTTGGATCTACATACATAAATTATTTTTGCATGGCAATTTCGAAAAAAAAAATTATTTTATGGTCGAACGTAAGGACTGTCGCCTTTTTACATTTTCCGTCTCATTGCCCGTATGCCAGAAACATGAATGTGTAAATATGAAAATTTTGGGAAATCAAGTTTGAAATTTTTTTTTGGTATTTTGGGTTTTGGCATTACATAGAACATCCAAAGGTTTATCAAGTCAACCCAGTAACTCAAAACTGATAAATTTGCACATTCATGCTTCTAGCATAGGGTGACGATATATCGATGTTCGTGCTTCAGGGAGAAATTTTTTTTTGTTCCAAAGTTCATTGATCTCAAGCATCCACCGCATATCAGTTCTGGTCATCCTAACGTACCACAGTAATGCCAGTAAAATACGGCTCACCAAGCTTTAGCTATGGAAGGATTTCGATTATACAATAAAAAAAAATTTTTTGCGAATGTAGGAGTCACAGAAAAATCTAAAAAAAAAAAAATTTCAAAACTTCTTGTTAAAAAAACCTTATACTTAAGCGTGAACGGCAAATTTTTTTTTTGTATGCTTGTAAGGTAGTGTGGTCTAATGTACATACATACATACATACATACATAGGTATGAGCTGCCACGATGGTTTGTATGGCATGTGCATTGCTGCATGCAAATGGCATGTGATCCTGGTGTCGGATTAAGTTTCGTAAATGAATAGTTTCCTTTTTCTTTTCTGTCAACTCAAACTCTATGACAGACAACCAGGTTGTCATACAGCCAGATACATATCAGTTTATGTGTGAAGTCGAGTTAGGTTATCTAAAAAAAATTAGTAAAAAATTTCAAAGTTTTTCAGGTGAAAAAAGGTTAAAGTTTCATTTTGACGTTGAAAGAAGTGAGTGATAAGCGCTCTATATTCGGCACTCGTAACAGTAGTAAAGAAATTTGAATCAGAGGAGTGTAATCGCTCGTTAAGTTGAATCACTGTGTTATTCGAAGGTAGTTAAAAAAGTATATATTTGAGCCGCTTATTTCGAAAGTGGCCTAAGTCACTTCATACCTCTTGCACTTTAAAAACTGGTTCATCAACCAGAGGTAAAAGGTTTTGTTATTAGTTTACGATGATAGAAAGATTGACCCAGTGGCCTGGTATCCAGCCAAGTGTTACCTCATTTTTTGCTGCTAAAGTTTGTAGCGTGTCATAACTGTCTTTAAAAAACTTGAATTTAATCACCCTGTTGGAAAGCATATGGCTGGCCGCTTGGCTCTCTGAAAGATGCCAAAAATTCGCGCTCTCAATAATAATCAACCTTGAATATGGTGACCGAACTGCCTTTTGGAATTGCAAGTTTCGTGCCAGGCCCATAAGCACTAGCGCCTGCTTTGTCATTCTCGAACTTGGACTATGAATTTTTTGCTAAAAAAAAAATCTTCTTGGTAATGGAATCGGAGAGTCAGCAATGTTCCAACCTTAGTGTATTCCCAAGGACCCCGGTAAGAAGATCTTATTAGAAAGTAAAATTTTCAACTTTAAAAGTTTAGTCAGGTGGAGCATGTCCGTTTATTTTTACCAGTGATCTCTTAGTTCTCCACATAATCACTCAAGAAAAGGAATTTCTTTAAGTGATGGTGTTCGTCTGAGCTGTCCCACTGGCTAGCGGTGCTTGATTTTTCTCACCTGGTGAAATGCTTTTCGATGTCATTGTTGTCGAATCCAAGGAATCGATTGGGTTCAACAAATGGGTTGTCTGCTGCCAGGCACCCAGATTAAAGAAACTCTATTCTGTATGTCTAGAAGAATTTTTGATGGAAATAGGAAGCTGTTGAGAACACATTGGCTGTCCAAAAATATGGAGCTCTGGCATATTGCCTATTTACTAAGACATGAGCGATCTCAAGTATGGCTACCAGTTCCGCCTGGATTATTAAAACTAATTAAGGAAAATTTGTGCAATTTTTGTGAAATCGATTTCGTTCGGGGACAGCGTTTCAGCCAAAGTCGTATCTTTCCCTTTGAATATTTCAAGTTATCGGACATGGTTGGCTTGTTCGAATTTACTTTTCGTACAGGCCCTCTTGTTCCTAATGGCCCTTTCACGGTGTCGCCCTTTCGCATTGACAGCCTTAGCCTGTTACTCAAGTTTGCCATGATAGTTCTCTGTGTAAGCACTTATGTACTTACACGCGAACAATTTACAGCGGTTGATTGCAAATTACAGTTACCTCCATGTGGCACATATCTATTAATTAAATTAACCCATAGATGAAATCTGTACCCAAGGGGAAAATAGCATTAAATGCTGGCAATTGTAGCGAAATGTAATCGCTAATCATATTAAGTAATTAATTTACAAATTGCTTACTGGGAGCCATTATAAAATAACACATCGTACGAAATTTACTAACAGTTTAGTGTTAGCTCGTTAGTGGGCTTTTCGTGAAAAGTGTTCTCTCCGTTTGCAATTGTTTTGCTGCCGAAAGCGCTAAGAAATGTCAAAATTATTTTTGGTCGTGCTTTTCATAACGGCAATTGTGCCTGCAAGCAATGCAAAGCTACGCTTTCTTATCGACGAAGTTAACCGGGATCATGCGCCCTATGCGAAGCTGGCGCTCTACATGACCGAACGCTACATAACGCCAAAGGCAAGAACACTCATTATCATGGAGAATTGCGAACATTGCAAGCCGGGATTGTTAAATATGCATACGCGCTTGCTGCGCTACTTTTTGAAGCAATTCAATCCGACTATGTCACTGCAGCTATTCTTCGGTTTGCCAGAGGAAAGGCTATGGGACTACAATCTTTTCATCGTCGATTCTATGCACGCCTTCAAGTAAGCGTGGCATCAGGCATAGCTTACCAAAAATAAAAAAAAAAAACAATAATAATATTATCTCCATTTTTGTGTATGCAGGAATTTAAGTATCCACATACCAGTAACCCATTACGAGTACCAATTTCATTTCTTCATCATCTTAACTTTACGAACGCGGTCCGAGCGAAAGGCGATTGAGCATATGGAGCAAATATTCATGGAATGTCTGCGACTTCATGTGGGCAATGTGGTTCTAATGTTTCAATTTGACAACACTCATACTTTTCACTTCTACACCTACACTCCATTCGGGGTGGCCTACTGTCGCAAAATAGTGGATGTTGCTGAGTTCAATAATTACGCAAATGGACGTTTGGCTGAGGATCGACTCTTTCCACCTCATTTTCACAATTTTCACGGTTGTACTTTGAACGTTTGCCTGCGGTTGGGCTATCCATTTGTGGGACATAGAGGTGATGATCAGCAGCTGCAAATGCAAAACATTCATTTGTTGGATGGTTTAGAAGCTGACATATTGAAAATTCTGGCAAAAGCGATGAACTTTCATGTGAATATTTCCATACCGAAAGAAGATAGTGTCATTGGAGAGTTCCAGAACTCGACGGGTTGCTTTGCAGAGGTTTGTTGAATAGAAATACATTAGAGTGCGTTACACAAAAAAAAAAAAAAAAAATGCCGCATATTAAAGCGAATCATAAAACGTTAAAGATATGTACATCATAAAATTATAAACTCCCTGGGCGACCTCTTTCAGAGAACTTGCACTTGTGGAAACATAGATAAGTCGATTTCCAAACTCATTTATTTTCTTAAATTTGCTTAATTTATTTCGGCAGCTCGCTTCGGAAAAGGCGGACATCGCATTGGGCTGTTTGAGTAGCTCGGACACTTTGCGCCATGTTTTCAGTTACTCCATCACCTATCACCAAAGTCCGTTTGTATTCATTGTGCGGAGCGGCTTGCACTTCGGACCCATTAAGCAATTGGCACTCGGTTTCTGCAAAGATGTTTGGCTATGGATTGGTAGCTGTTGTCTGGTCGGCATGATACTAATCCGTTTAGTGGTCACTTTTGCAAGCCCTCGCATCTGCGAGCAAATTATCGGACATCCAAGACGTAGTGACTGCACCAATTTGATTGTCATAATGATGGGAAATCCCATCAACTCACGTCCACATCACATATGCCCCCGACTCCTGCTAATGACCTGGCTGTTAGCTACGCTGGTCTTGCGCAATGCCTATCAGGCGAAGCTCTTTGAAACTTTACGCATCTCTAGACGCATTCCCGTTCCACGCAGTATTGCCGGTCTCGCAGCTGAACAATATAAGCTAATTTTTGATTCGTATGTGGATTTCTACCCGCGAAATATGACGACAATTCAGCATAATTTGACGAATCGGTATGGCATTGTTCAAGATAGCGAAACGCCACACATCGCCACCGTTTCGATGTTGGACACCTTGGCTTGGCACAATCAACAAAATTGGCAAACTAGTCGCTTGACGTATGTCGATGAACCGATCTACAACATACAGCTATCGATGTTCTTCAAGAAACATTCGATGTTGCGTATGGTTTTCGACAATTACATCAAGCGGCTGATGACGTCAGGGATAACCTCGCACATTGCCAGCAAGCATGTGAAGAAACATTTCCAAGTGATGAACACGAGATCTCAACGATTGCCGGCCATCAGCAGCAATATGCTTAAGGGACTCTATATGCTTTATCTGATGCTGATGGGTTTGGGTTGTACGCTTTTTGGATTGGAGCTACTTACAAGCAGATGTCGGGGCATCAAGCGAATCATAGACTGGTTTCACAACGTCGAAGGAAGCTGGGATTAAATAATTAAGTAAAATAATATTGAGTGGAGAAGAAGAAATTGCGCATCCCTTTCAAATCGTTGGAGTGTCAGTGACGTAGAAGAAATACTAAAAAGATTTAAAAAATGTAGAGCACTCAATGTCAGCTACGAGTAGAATAACAGTGGAGCTTTTGTGTGGCATTAGCCATCTTAATTTAAATAACTCAATAAATACAAGCAGCAAACAAAAAAATAAAATAAATAAAAAAACCAATAAACAACTATGCATTAAAATTTCAGCATGCGAAATGTCAAAATCACCAGAAGAATGATTGTCATCATTAATGTATGTATATATCAACATGAATTTTAACAGCGACAACAACAGCAAAGGCAATTGCACAAACAATAACCAGTGCAACAACAGCGGTGGCTTCAACATGTTGCAACCTCAATGTCAACTTCACTTTCATTGTCAACAACAAAAGCGGCTGAAATATTTTGTTAAGCACTGAGTGTAAACGTTTTGTTGTTGGCGCGGCAGTGCAGCATGCAATTGGCTGGCCAGGTGGGTTGGCGTCAGGGTTGCCACTGGCGAAACAAAATAATTACCATCCACTTGAAAAAAATCTACCAATAACTTTTTTTATAGTTATTTTAATAAAAACTATAGAATGGGAATTAAAATTGTCTTAAGGAACTTTTTTTTACTTATTATATCGTATTTGTGATCATATTATTGGCATATTCTCCGTTTCCTTTAACCAAAAGCGGAAGTGATGAAACTAAAGGCAACAACGAAACTTCATCATTTGAAAAAACTTCGAGTCGAGTTATTATATTTAGACAAATACTCAACGATGACCCAAAAAAGTATGTACTTGTTGATTTTTTTTTTAATATTCACAATGTGTTTTAAGAAAAATTTTTGTGTTGCTTTAACGAAATCCATAAAAATCAAGGATTCAAACTTTATATAACATTTAAAAAAATTCGAAAATTTTTTGTCTGAATTTCGAATTTTTTAGGGAAAATAATATTCCCGATGATTTTTTTTTAATTTTTTTTTAAATTGTATTTTCTTTTTATTTAACAATGTCCATTGTTAAAAAATGGCGTTGATTTTTTTTTTTTTTTTTTGGAAAAAATCATAGTGCGTATAATTTTTTTTCCTTTTATTTAAATCATTTAAAATATTTAGGCAAGTAAAAGCTCCTCAGGATTCCAGTAAAATGAGTTTTAAATGGAGCACGATATGTTCGCCTTATATCGATATACATTTATACGTATGTAAGTATGTATATATATATAAAAAGTATGCAAAGAAATTTTTAATTTAAAGATAACTACGAAAAATAAAGCGGGAACGAAAAGCTCAACCAAAATCTACCTAAATGAGAAAAAATTTTCTTTTTACCAACCCAAATTTTTTCTACCAATTTTGGTAACAATTTACCAAAGTGGCAACTCTGGCTGGCGTCAAGCAGTAGTGGCAGGCAGGCTGACGTATTTTAAACTTTAGTGGTTTGCGAAGCTTGCGGAAGAGCGGGCTAAAGTAAAAGCAAAGGAATGAAAGCCAATGTGGAAAGAGAGGAGAAAACGTTTCAGAGCTACTTTTTTAACCTCAAGTCAAATTCAGTGCAATACGAAACTTGTTGCTGTCACTGGCATGCGATGCGGTTAAGTTGTTGACATATTTATGTGCATCAAAAGTGAATTATTAATAGAGATACCAAACTTTTATGAACTTGTATATGTGCATATATTTAGTATGTATGTATGTATGCTTTTTCTTTAGCTATGTGGTTGTGTATATGGCACATTGCTTTTTACTTATTGTATACATATGTAATTGCAAACAGAAGGAGAGGTAGCATACCCAAATAAATTGCGTCTCAATAAATGGAATTGAAATTAATAAAATAAAGCTTATTCACCAAAACTGCATAATAGACTTAGTGATTTGCTAAACGATTATTGTAAAGCTTGCATTTCATTAAACAATAAATCAATGTCAAAGTTGAAAAGAAAAAGCAGTCTTTTCTGAAATCAGGATTGTGTTAAATTTTTTATTAACTCCGATGGGCCCTAATTACATAAGAGTTTTTGCTCGAGTAATGGAATGATGAGATCATCAATTTGGAGTTCCACAGTCCTCACAATTTTTAAAATTTCGGCTCTTGGCAACATTCTCTGGATTGTCATCGTCAACGAAGTCCTGAAGGAGCTGTAAAGGAGAGTGATAGCGAGTTTCAGAAAATTTTGTAGGACCTTTTTGCAGAGTACATTTAGACACAAATTGGTCCACAAGCAGCGGACCTGCCAATAATCCTAAAAAAAAACGAAGCTAGTTATTTTCACCAGAAGACATAGTGTGCCAAATTCCCAGCTTACCGCGATCGTTGGCGTTCTTCCTATGCCCTCTGGCGGGATCAGGTTCATCGCTCCTTTGAAAAGTTTCGGAATAAAAAAATAAACCGTATTAAAGGCTCTAGTTAGACTTTACTTCGCAGATCATTAATGGGTTATGACACCCTTAACCAAGGAGGGTCCAAAAATTAAAAATTAAAAAACAAAAACAAAAATGATTTATAGGGAACTCTATTTCAGTTTAACTAGAACCTTCAATTTGGATAAAATTTTTGAGAATTTTCGCAACTATTCAAAAAATTACACAACACCTGGGAGACCACTTTGCGGCATACGAAAATTCGAAAGCCGTTGGAAAATTCCACTCCACACTGCCTCCGCTTTCCGCTTATTCTATGCTTTCAGTGTATTCTGTGTGGAACTCTTCGTTAACCTCGAATCTATAATACATCCAAATGTGGTTCCAGGGCATCGAAACAATATAGCAAACTCGAAGGCCTATGAATTTACTAGTTAGAGCTCGCCTGAGTTCATTTCTATTCATAGAGAGGGAATAGGAGGTACTGCAGCAATCTCTAGGTCGCTCGTAGACAGATGGGCTTTTAGCCGGTAGCCAATCGCGGGCTTCTTCAGCTAAATAAGCGGCAAATCTTGCGTCTGCTAGAGTTATGGCCTATCATTGTCCAATAAGAATCCATTCGGCACTACTGAAAATCATTTCGGATCACTATTTTCGTAGCTTTTGCGAGACTAAGGTCTAAACATTTCGGCTCGTATTTTATAGTGGCACCCACTCGAGTAGACATCAGCTACATGTGGAGCTTAAGTTTGAGTTCCAAGCCCTTTTCCGAATAACTTCATGTCGATTACCTACAGTCATAGCTAGTAGAAATGGTAGCATGGCCAAAGAATTTTTACTTTTTTCGAGGAGCCCACTACGGGTGAGTGTAAATTGGCAGCAATTATAAAGTTTTCACCGCATAAACTCCAGCATTCACATACTCTTCGCTTATTCATCTATCTATTGTTGACTTGCATTGAAAGTAATTGCGACAACAATGTTATCAGAATAACTTGCTACTACTACTACTTAAGCAATGTCACGTTTTGGTTGTTAGCGCGCAAAACTTCGCGAAGTTTCAGACAAAGATTTTCCTGCAAACAATTTTTCACAACATAAGCTTAATATGTAGCGCGAGGACCTAGTACATACTTATGTAAATATGTAAATTTAAAACTTTAGTGCATATGAACTTTATAGAATGCATACATATACATAATCCAGATATATGAATTATTGTATCGAAATAGTTTTATGGCCGGGTGCAGATATCGTTTTCCAGTAGTTTTGAGCTGCATTTTCCCCTATTCATATAAAGTAAATTGGATTATAAAATGTATGACGCTCTGGTCAACTTCTTCACAATGAAGTGCCTAAATAGATTTCGTATGTTGTGGCTTCGGTAAGCTTTTTTCTTTTTAACTATATTTGTGTGTGTTAACAAACAAAATAAGCGAATAGCTTTGTGCATAATCGGGCCTGATCGGGTTTGGCAACGCAGCCAGGGCGTATGCGTTATTTCTTGATTTGTAGTTGAGACGATTGTCGGTGGTGCGCATAATACCAGTCCCTTGAGGTTAAAATTAATTACAATAAAAGATGTCAAAATCGAGTTAATTTTCCTTGCTGTAATTTACTGTACAATTTAGTGCGTTTGCCACTCGCCTAACCTCTGCCGGCTGCCACCACCTAGTGGGGGCTCCTTCAATTAATGCAACAATATGTCCAGCAGCTGTCAAGTCAAATCTGCCACCAATGCCACACATAAATTTGCCATCTTGACATGGTTTTGAATGGAAACGCAAACGTACACACAACTTTAACAGATGCATTCGACTGGTGGCATGCAACTTGAGCAGTGGCATCAACAGCGGCTACATGCCTCGCAATGTACTAACTACAACTGCCGCAACCATGTGCGCGCGGGTGCAGCTTTAGGCTGAGACAAGTGGTTTGAAAAAGGGGATCCGGAAGCGATAAGGACTTATTGCGTGCGCTCACACAACGCCCGGAGTCGTTTATGCTTGCCACCTAACTACATACATAACCCCAGCCGCTGTTCACCATTGCGTTGGCACTTCACTTGCTTGCCTCAAGTTGAATTATGCCTCCTGACGCTGACATATTTGCCACTTAGCAGCGTCGGCACCCCTGCAAAGCAGTCAACAGCAGTTGGCAGCAGCCGAATATACTACCAAGGCAAATCCACAGCTGAAGCTCACCACTTCGGTTGGTTGCAGCTCAACTGCCACAATCGGTGCAAAATGCGCAATTAGGGTTTTGTGGTTGCAAGTGTTTGTGGCAAATGCAAAAAAAAAAAAAAAAAAATTAAAAGAGAGACACACAAAAAAAGTGCCAGTACAAAAACACGAAAACAAACAAACGAAATAAATATTCCACTCATTCTTTGTGCGCGCATCTTAAGCCTTCACTTGCACACACACACGCATGCACAGCAACAACAACAACAACACCGATAGAAAACACGCAGTCGAGCGCGCTTAGCACATTTGCTCAATTTGTGGCAATTTACACTTGCCATTTGTGGCAAGTCCCTGTATATATACTTATATTGCCCCTCTCGCCACGGCACCCTCCACACAGCCACA